ACTTAAAACTTCTATCACCCAGAGGAATTGTGACTTGTGATATGGGTGAGGTTGGACTTGGTATAGTGGCCGCCCTCAGGTGACGATAGCTAGTCGACTTCCCGGTGCATCTCGATTCTGGTAACTCAACCCCTAAAGTTCGATCTTGATGACGAAAGCTTGGAAGAAGAGTACACCATAGTAACTCGTCACATGCCAAACAATTCATATACAAAAGTCTATGATGATGGATTCGTATACGAAGGATACATTAGAAGAAACAACGGGATGATAGGACAAGGTTGCTCCATCTTCCACATATCTCCGACGAGAGTCGATGTAAAAGGACACCCAGAACCTGACTTTTTGAGTTTTTGTCATCTGTGCAAGAAGAAACTCCATGGGACATACGTTTATATGCACAAGTAAAAGAAAAAAAAGATCTAAAACTTTGTTCTTTGTTCTTAGGGTTTTACTCATCCAATTTGAAAATTCGCCCCCAAACCCTAATTCTGCTATTGTGGAGATCCCGAATACATTTCATCATCAAGTTAAGAAAACAGTTTGGAACTTGGGGATTTTTTTAGGGTTCGAATGATCTTAATTCATTCAATTTGATGGATTTTCCTTAAAAAAAACCCCAATTGGTCTATTGTGGAGATCTGGGATATACTTCCTGTGTTATGTCGTATGAAGACGTTCTTTCCATCTAAATCTTGTAAAGAAACACATTTGAATGCTCTGAATCCACAATCATGGCTACAAGTTGAAAGAGGAAAGCTTTCAAAAGACGGTAATGAGTTTTTTGACTTTCGAGAGAGAGAGAGAGAGAGAGAGAGAGAGATTTTAATTATTTAAATACCAAAATAAATAAAGAAAATAAAAAAAGAAATGAAAAAGGCAAAATCGACTTTTCAAGTGTATCATGGACCAAAAACCTAGAAAAGCTTTGATTTTGGACCTTTCATGCAAGTTGAAAACTTTTTGGACTATATCCAAAGTTTTTTGAATACCATAGGTACCAATCTTCTAGTTTTGTCAAGATTTAACTTGTAAAAGAGCCTTTTTGATAGAGTTTTGTCCTAGCACTATTTTTCCATTATATATACAATTAAATCATCGGAGCCTTACAAATAGTATCCTTTTGGTTGACTTCGATTTGGGTCCTTTACTTTCATTTATGTTTTTGTTGTCTATTCTTTAGCTGCAATTCGTATTTGGTCCCACTTTCATTTATGTTTTTGTTGATGCTTCATTCAGAATGGTTGATCATATGTTTTGTGTTTTGTGTTTTGTAAGGTTGATCAATGTGGGTGTCCCTTTCCTAGTTACTTTTAAATCCCTACAAAACACAAAACATATAATCAACCATTCAAAAATATATATGAACAAACAATGTACAAAAATATTTTATAGGAAATTAAGTGAGTTTTTAAATAACCCAACAATCCAAAAATGTCATTGAAAATACAAAGATACATTTTCTCTTTATGAATTGCAAAACTTAGCTTCTAGTGTGTCATCGACCTTGAAATTTTTGACCAATGTAGAAGATACCAGTGAAAACAAACAATGTAATATGAGCTACATAAAAGTGACAAAGTGAGATGTTGCAAGATCAAAGTGACAAATTGACATGTTTAAATTAACCATATTTAATAGAAAAAAATTATTTAACCATATTTTATAATAAGTGAGATGTTTATATAACATATTTTATTCTCCTTTTGACATGTGTCATCCTATTAGGCCTCCTAAGAAATGCATATTTTATTCTCCTTTTGCCATGTGTCACCTTATTATGTCTGCATGTCACTTGTCAACTCCATTTCAAATTTTAAATTTTAAATTTTCCACTCTAATTACATTAAATTTATAACATTAGAATAAAAATTAAAATAAAATTAATACAAATTATAAAATGATATAATTTCACATATTTATTTAAATCAATGATTAAAACTTATATAACTAAAAAAACCTCTTAATTAATAATTTATTTAAAATAATTAATTAATAATTTTGAGTTTTTACTATAAAAATTTAATTAATTTTGTAACCGTAGTTCCTACGGATTATAAACTAGTATAAAGAATATAAAAAGACATAGAAGTTTCAAATCAATATGGTGATTGAAATTGTGATATAAGAGTTTTAAATCAATATGATACTTGGATTTGTACCTCTATTACCCCACAAAAGTTTCAGACTCAACACCTTCCATACCCGACCCACCATATTTGTTTAAATCCGAAATTGACTGGGCTCCCGACTTAACAAAAGGCTCCCTACTTGTTTGCACATCAATGGGCTCCGCGTAAAGAGGCCCAATATTAATGTCACCCATAGGGCCAATTGGCCAAAGCCACCATATTATGGCCCAAAATGTGTTTAGGCGAAACAATCTCATGGACGGTTTCCTTTGACTTGACGCCACTTTCAAGTTTCAACATACTCAGGAGTCGAAGCGACAGTCTCCAGAATCGAGATGTCATCCCTCGTAAGTTACACCTCCTGGCTTTTCAGTTCCAAAAACATGCACATGTACTCTGATAAGAACAAATTCCCTGGTGCTGAAGCTTTTAATTAAGCTTATTTGAATACATAGCTATGGCGACGACACCTATACCGACGACAAAAGTCGTCGCTACAACTCCGCCTATGCCGACGACAAGTTGTCGCCACACGTTTTGCCAACTTTGACCAAAATCGTTTGACCCGGATACTTGTGCCGACGACATGTCGTCTCGAAACCTCTGGCGGGAACGACCAAAAAATACGCGGTATGCTGAAAACCTATGCCGACGACATGTCGTCGGTATAGCTTTCGATAAATCTATTTTCCAATTATTTATATTCGATGATCCGGTTTATCAAAACGACCAAATTTTACGGAATCTATACCGACGACTTGTCGTCGGCAATCCACGTGGCGATCCGTGTGAAAACACTATAACGACGACTTGTCGTCGGCATAGATTTTTTATTTTTCATTTTTTTTATTTCAGCAAAAAAAAGTAAAGGGCGTCGTTTATTTTAAGCCTATACCGACGACATGTCGTCGGCATAGGGGTTTACCTAAAAGACCACAGTCTGTGTTTCATTTGCACGCAGCGTCGCAGCCTCTTTCTCTTTCTCTCGCGATCGGCGAAAAATCGAAGCTACCCTCCCAAAATCCGGCGATTAGCACCAGGTAATATCTCTTCTACCCGATTTCTCTCTTTATTGCTGTGTGGTCAAGATTTTTACCCCTAATTTGGAGTTTTTTTTATGTTATTTATTGCAATTGGTTCACCACCATCGGCTTCCACCATTTTCAGCCATCCCCACCGGTGAGTCCACCTCCGGTTCACCACCTTTGGCCTTCTCTCCTTCAGTGCTACATCATGTAAGTGTTGATCGGTTTTGGTGTTTTGTTGCTATCGTGTTTTTTTTTCTTCTGATTTGGTGTATTTTTGGTGACCCCCAGCCACCACCGAAGGATACCTATCAAAGTTGACAATTGGAATCCTGCCATCACAGCAAAAAGAAAAAAACAGGTTAGTATTTTTATTTATAATTTTTTTTTTGAAATTGTGATTGTATATATGTATAAGTTTATATGAAATTGGAATCATTGTATGACTATGGGATTGTTTGTTTGGTATGTGTTTGATTGTGCTGTTTGTTTGCTATGTGTATGATTGTATTGTTTGTTTAGTAAATGTATGTTTGTTTGTTTAGGTGAATCAAGTGTGGTTGCTAGGAGGAATGTTGGTGAATCAAGTGTGGTGAATCAAGTGTGGTTGCTAGGAGGAATGTTGCTCCTACTATAAACGATGACGATTTCATTAACGATGACAATGACGATGGTGATACGTACTCTTCAGATGAAGAAATAAATAATAAAAAATATGACAGTGATGATGATGTTGTAGATGTATATTGTTCTAGTGATGAATCTGATTGACGGTATGTCGTAGTTATTATATATCCTGATTGCTTATAATATTTGTTAAATTTTCAAATGTTGCTTATTTATAATTAGCTTTATTATATATTTTGAATGTTTATAATATTTGTTAAATTTTCAAATGTTGCTTATTTATAATTAGCTTTATTATATATTTTGAATGTTTATAATATTTGTTAAACAGATGGCAGAAGTCGCGAGGGGACATGGAGGAGACGGTGGGGATAGACCACCACACGGGGTCGCACGCGGTGTACCATCGGGTTGCCAATCTTGTAAGTTACATGAAATTTTTAAGTATTAGATATATTAAAGTTTTAAATTTCTAAATTTTCAATTCTATATGTAAATGTAGCACAAGCGAAGAATGTGAATGTGAATAAGCGTGGCAAAGGGAGAAACTTAAATTTGTACGACGAGTATGAAAACAACAAGTGTAATCCTTTGGATTTGCGAATTGATATCTCCGGGCGGACGTACCGATTTGTGGGGGACAACGGGCAAATGTTTGTCAGACTGATCTCAAATCTGGTGGGATCAAAGGTACCGTTGCATTATCATACTTGACGTCGTGTTCCTATCAAATTCAAAGATGATTTATATCCCGAGCTAGAAGTAAGTATACAATATATTTTATATGTATTGAATTTTACACTTATTAAATATTTTTTTACTAATCAAATATGTTTTTCCTTTTGTAGACTTATTTTGATCTAAATAGGTACCGGGGCACAGACTTGTGGGAACCCCTTCGAGCGGGTATCCAAGCAGACATGCAAAGAGCTTATCGAGACCGCAAGCATGATATGAAAAATCATTTTGATAGAGTTGGTGGATATCATGATGTGGAAAGGGCAAGAAGATGTCCACCGACTGATTGGTCCGCCGAAGCTTGGAACAAAATGATTGATTTGTTATTTTTGACCAATGAATACAGACGCACGTCGGACAAAAATAAAATTTGTAGGTCGAAACTTCCGCACACAAGTGCTCACGGATGTAGACCCTATGCTCAACGATGTTATTTAGAGGTAATAAAATATTATAGTATTAGTTAAAAGTGTTATTAACATTTGTATAAATATATTTATTGATTTCACTAATTATAGGAAAAAATGGGAATGAAACCGCAACATATTGAGGGTTGGAGACAAATGCGCTACAAAGAAGGTTCGGGTTGGTGTACAAGTCGAGCACAAGAAGATTGGGTAAGTGATAAACGAAATGAATGTGTTGTTTAAATATATTATTATTATTAATTATAGTTTTTTGTTTAAGGAATATTATTATTATTTTAATGTTTAAGTTTAGTTGTTTGTTTTAATTAACGTATGTTTATTGTTTTCTTTATTTTAGGAAAAAATTCAAAAAGAATATGAGAAAATGCAAAGCGAGGTTGGGGAAGGCGGAATAGTAGACGAGGAAGAATGTTTAGAACGTGCCCTTGGGAAGAGACGCGAGCATGCTCGCGGGGTGGGTAGGAGACCAACCGCCAACTTCGGTTTAATTCCAAATGAACGACCTTCCACTTCAAAATCGTCCCAATCTCAATCCCAATTTGATGCACAACAAATGCAAGAATACTTGCAACAATATAATGCATCATTGGCGGCATGTATTCCAGGCTTCCAACCACCACCACTTCCTAACTTTCTATTCAACTCTAACACACAAGCAACTACCTCTCAACAAGTTGCCGAAAGGATGGAAGAAGAAGGAGAAGAAGGAGAAGGAGAAGAAGGAGAAGGATATGATTATGATAATGATGTTTGATGTTTTTTTAGTGTTTTGAACAATGTTAGTTAACTACTTGAATTTGATGTTTTGAATTTGAACAATGGTACTTAGTTAATGTATTTCAATTGATATATGTTGGAATGTGTTTTGGATTTGTTAAAAATGCAGGAATGGCAATGTACTAAATTTGTAAAATTGGAAAAAAAACAAACAGGGCCTATCCCGACGACATGTCGTCGCTATAGGTATGTCATTGGGTCCTGTTAAAACCCTATAGCGACGACTTGTCATCGTAATAGACAAATCCTGTCGCGACAACATGTCGTCGCGATAGCTTTACCGACGACAAGTCGTCGCTATAGGTAGTTAATAAAACTTTATTTTTTATCCCTGAAAATATGATTGACGAAACCTATCCCAACGACTTGTCGTCGTGATAGGTGAAGCTATCGCGACGACATCTATACCGACAACACTATTGACCTATGCCGACACGCCTATGCCGACGACTCTATCCCGACGACATGTCGTTGTTATACCCTATGCCGACGACATGTCGTCGGGAGAGAGCCCGAATTCGTCGTCGCTATAGCTTGCTAATGTTGTAGTGCGCATGTTGAAGCAAATATGATACTTTCAGATAAGAGAGAATGTACTACACAGTTTGCAGGTCAAAACATCAGTGATGTCCCGAGTTCTCACTTCAGTGGTGTGAATCCTCATCAACAACCACCACCCGATTCAAGCATTCGGGCATCTTTCGGGACTTATTGCCCTTTTTGCAACATAAAATACGAGTATGACAGAGAGTTTGTAAACAGACCTTTGCGGTGTCAGCATTGCTCGAAGCTCTTCATTGCCTATGACATAACTGCACAAGGGGCAGCACCGGAAGTTCCCGGATCCCGTGCTGACGTGTACAAGGAAGCTGCTGGAAGCATGCCAAATGGCAACCATGTGAATCTTGATGATGATAGTAAGTTTGTAAACTGCCTGGATTTAGAATTCAGTAATTTTGACAAAGATAAAGAAGAAGATCGTTTTGCAGTTGACCAAATCTGGGCATGTTATGATTCTGTTGATGGGATGCCAAGATTCTATGCAAAAATTAGGAAAGTTTTTACACGCAATTTTAAGTTGAAGATCACTTGGTTAGAGGCTGACCCAAATGATGAATCTGAAATAAAATGGGCAGAAGAAGGGTTACCCGTTGGATGTGGGAAATTTGTGGGTGGTAAATCAGAGGAAACAAAAGATCGTCTCATGTACTCTCATCAGATAGTTTATAAAAACGGTTTGAAGAGAAATTCTTTTGTTATTTATCCCCAAAAAGGTGAAATATGGGCGTTATTCAAGGACTGGGACATCAAATGGGGTTCAGACCCAGAAAACCATACTAAATTCAAATTTGATATTGTGGAAATTCTTGATGTGCATGTTAATGGCAGTGTATCTGTTGCTTTATTGGTCAAAGTCAAAGGGTTTGTAAGTCTGTTTAAAAAAACAGCTTGGGGAGGACTAAATGACAGAAAAATCCCTGGAAATGAACATTTAAGATTCTCCCATCGAATCCCATCAACAAAACTGACTGGAGCAGAAAGAGCTGGAGTGCCACCTGGATCTTTTGAGCTTGATACGGCTTCTTTACCAGATGATCTTGAAGACTATTATTATTCCATCAATCCTGCAGTGCTTAAAGGTATATTTCTCAACTGCTTTGTGTTTTGTAGCATTCCACTTTCATTTGTTTCTATTATATTTATAAAGCATTGTTATAGTTGGTTAGATTTTTAAAGAATAATGTTTTTGTAGGAAAAAAAACCGAATGTACAATGCTATAATTGGGTAAATTTGAAGTACAATATATTAACAAGAAAAAAAAACTGAAAGTATAACGTTGTATTAGACAATACCTAAATGTGAACAATGAAAGTACAATGTAATTTTTTGGAAAACAATACTCTAAAAAATTAAACGCTATAAAAAGTACATTGCTATTTCTTGCATGTAACTATGAATAAATGCTATTCCTACATGCTTAATTGCATTTGTTTGGTTTCCTGATTCTGACATTAAGCCATCTTTATGCAGGATTGCCCTTTGAATGGGTCTAATGAAGGTTAACGTAACTAATTTCAGTCAACCTTCTTGGCACTTGAAAAGTTAGTGAAAATTGTAAGCTTTATATATGCAAATTAAAAAGCCTCTCCATTTTGTGCCACTTTTTATAGGTGGTCTTATTTTCATGTAATTTTTTTTTTAACTTGTGTCTAATTATATTTGTACCCAAGAATTATTAAATGGTAGGTGTCCTAAGCAGCAAAAAAAACTTCCTGGATATTTTTTTTGTTGTATATGTGGGGCAGATTTGTTAGATTTGTCTGGAAATTTATGTCCTTTTGGTGTTAAAAAGTTTGAGAAGAATCATATATTTGACCATTACTTTTTAGTGTTGTCTCTTTTTTATTGCGAGGATGATGAGGGCATTTTAGCATTTATGTCTTTTCAACATTCAAGAGGCCGAGTTGAGTTATATTGTTCACCTTTTTTGGTTCATGACAAATGTCGTGGGGCATTCGTGTATATTAGAAAATGCATTTTAAATCCAACTAATGGTTTATGTGGTTTGCATTTTTTTTTTCTTTGACTAAAGTCCAAAAAAAAATTTCAAACTTGCAAAAATAATCTTTTTGATAGAGTTTTGTTTGTAGTTTTAGTTCCTGTTTCAATGTGGATTGGCTTCTTGTGGGCCCAATAGTCACCTAACGGACAATTATGTGATAAATAACCCTCGGAGAAACAAGGGTGGATATTGGATATTCAATAAAAAATCAAGGGATGGTATCAAGAGTTTGTACAACATTAAGTCTGTCTACAAATATACACCATAATTGTAACCAAACAATGAACAGCAGCAACCCATGTCCACATCAGAAACTCTTCGTCTGATTCTGAACTCCAGGATCAGTTTGTTTTTTTTTTAAATTATTTAATCATGAATATAATCACAAATGAATCGTTTTCTTGTAAACCAATCAAAACTTTGATAAAACAATCTCTCGCATGAACTCTTCAGGTGCTGCAACAAAACAAACGCAACGTCTCAGATAAACACTAAAAATAAAACAACATATCTGAGGGCAAAATGGTCTTATCCCTCCCTCAGCAACCCATGTACCTTTGCCACCAGTGAAAAGATTAAATTGGCCGACAGCCTGTCGAAGGAACATCTCGACCCCACTAACAGTGATGACGCCAGCAGCCTCAGCGTCTTTTAAAAGTGTGGTTTTTCTAGGTGTATAAACAGCATCAAAGACAACGGAATAATCTCTCAAGGTTTCCTAAAATAGAAAGAAAATAAAAACATTTGGTCAAAAAAATAAAATAAAACCCTAAATAGAAAGTTGGAAAAACTTTTGTGAATAAACGAACCTCGGAAACGGGGATACGATCTTTATTTGGGTGCATCCCAATGGGCGTTGCATTTGCAAGAACTGCGCCTTTTTCTGGTTGGAAGTTAGACAACTCCTCAAATGGTATAGCTTCACCCGATACTGCAAGAGCAAGTGCTTTCGCTCTCTCTTTTACAAACAAACAATAAAATATTATTTAGTATCATATTCTAAACAAAAAGGTAAAATGGTCATTTACTCACATAGCGGGCATAATCGGTATAACCGTCTACGTACTTAATCTAAGCAACTAGACATGATTGTTTCTTTCTGACGTAAAATGACTTAACGGATTAAGCCAAAAAAACATTTCTTAATATTATTTGTGAATTTCTTTTTTAAAACGTAATTTAGTCTCATTCAGTAGTGTGACACATCCATGTAGTTAGTGGGACTCAGATAAACAATCATTTGTTATACATCATTATTTCTAAACAGAAGGGTAAAATGGTCATTTACTTATATTCAGACAGTTACAAATAGTACACATACCATAGTCAATATCGAAAACGGTAATGCGTGCGCCTCTACTTTTGGCACCAAATGACAAAGCTCTCCCTGCACCTCCCGCGCCAACAAGCACGAATTGTTTCCCGGTGATAGGAGAAGGGAGCAATGCTTCTCCATTTACAAGACCTCGAGCTGCAAAATAAGATGCTATTTAATTCAAAAAAGAATACAATAGTGGTCCCTACCTAATTCACTATAATGATTAAAGTTTGATTTTTTTTTTGTTACCTTTTAAAGCATCCTCAATTGCAGTTATAGAAGCCTCACAATCCGTATTATAACCAACGAGCTTTCCATCACTATGTCTTTTTACAATAGTATTAACAGCGCCTATGGACTGGTGAAAGAGATAATAGTTAGTTAAATTTCCATAAAAAAGTGTTAGATTATAGTATCCGACTTTCATTTATTTATGTTACAACATTGTAGTTTTGACGTTTTTTTTTTCTTATTTAGGGATTGTATAGCATTGTAGTGCAAAATTTTAATATCATGAGATTAAATTATATAAAGATGATGAAGTCAAACCTGAGCAAGAGGATGGACTTCATCGCAAAATTCCATTACTGCTTCCTTGTATGGGATTCCAACACTACAATAATCAAATACAAAATAAGTCAAACAAATTCAAAAGGTGGGTTCCACACATAAATCACAATCAAATTCATTTCATTTATGGATTCTGGCGTGATTGCTAAAAGGACAAATAGACGCACCTGTAACCAGCAAAGTCGGGACTTTCATAAACATTAAAGAACTGTTTAAGATCATCAACGAACATAGGAACATAAACTCCATTGAAGCCGACATGTCTGAAAGTAGGGTTATGCAGAATAGGGCCTTTGCTATGGCTTACGGGTTTTGAAATTAGGCCAAAAACTTTAGTATCCGCATCGATATTTTCAACTCCATATGCTTCTCTAAGGCTCGCAAGACTTGGTAGACCAGGTACTTGATTTCCTTCGATCGATCCGTACACAAAAACTCCCCCAAATTTTGGACCTAGCAATTGACTAATAAGCCCCCGTTCTCCTGTTGAGTATGCAATTAGTGGTACCTGTACATACCCCAAATCCTAAGTTACTGATAGATAATGGATAAAATATTCATTTATTTTATATTAAGACAGTTTATTCGGCCCAAAAAAGAAAAGGAATTCATAGATAAAAGATAATGTTGTAGTGTTGTATACATGAGGTTTGTTTTTTTAGACAAAAACTATCTAATGAAACAAAATGAACATTTTACATTTTCAAAAAACAAATTTTATAATATTTATCAATTTCAACATAAGAGGAAGTGGAAGGAAAATAAATAAGAGGTTAATGTCTTAATACATTAAATCAAAATTTTGGCTTAGGCCATTAAGTTATTTTGTCCATAATGATAAAATGTTTGTAAGAACCAAAATAAATAAACATTTTATCCTTGATCGCCAAAAAACAAGTTGCAAGGAAAAAAAGAAGGGAAACATAAATGAAGGGTTAGTGTATACATTAAATCAAGTTTTTTGGTTAACCCATTTACTCATTAAGTCGTTTTGTCTTGATTAAGTGTTTAACCCATTAACTAAGAAACATTTTCACACATGATTACTCTTTCAGCTATTTTATCTATACATGACTTAATGGTAAAAACAAAATAAACTTATACCTGACAATGAGAGAGCAAATGGAAGATTCTAGATAATTCTGTAATATCGGTTGCATTGGTAACAAGTTTGATAAGATCGGCTCCGGTAGATTGCATTCTTGTAACAAGATGGCTTAGATCTTCTTTCAAAGATGTAATCCCATCCACAAAACAAGATACAATTATCTTGCAATTTTTACGATGATTAAGATTGTATTTTTCCATGACGTCAGAAGCTACCTAATAATAATTATAGTGGAAAGTGTCAACTGAGTTCTTTAATATTTTTATGCCACTTAACTAAATCTTTACCATTTTATAGAATAAGAAAAGACAAAAAAAAAAAAAAAAAAAAAACCAAACCCAACAACAACTTTTTTCATCAAATAGTTATTTTTATTTTTTGACTTTTTATTAACAAACTAGTCACATTAATTTTTGTTTTGCTTTTTTATAAATAATCGTCAATTTCGTAATAGGTCTCGGGTCTACTACAAAATCACTACTGGGTACGAAATTTGCATTTTTGTAAAATCCCTATTAAAAAATATTAAAAACTAAAAAAATTAATGTGCACTAAGAAACTGATCATATATTGCAAAAATTATAATGTTTTATAAAAACATAAAAAATTAAGGGTTTTTTTTTTGTGTTGTGGAATTTTCAAAAACCATTTTTACAAAAAAAAAAAAAAAATCATAGTTCAAAATTGAAATGTTAGGTCTGAGAAATTGAAATGTTAGGTCTGAAATGTTGGGGTAAATTTTGAGAAAAAAGTTAAAAGATGTATTAAATAAGGGGAATTTTTCACAAAAATAGTGATTTCATATTAAGCCCACAATGAAATTAATGGTTATTTGTGAAGAAAGTAAAAAAGAAATGGTTATTTTGTAAAATAAGTATAAAAATAGCTATTTTGTCTCTTATTTTATAGATATTGGCATTGATTTATTATATTTTTATATGATTATTATAAAAAGTACCTGAAGTTCAAAATCAACATATTCTGCCCCCAAGTCTTTAGCAAGTAGAAGTGCTTCGAGCCTTGAGTTCTCATCACCATCGTATAATCCACCCTCCCATTTTGGCCTATACAACAAGAAAACAGAGTTATGTTATGCTTGGCCACTATTAAAAAAACTAATTGATAATTAGAAAGATAGCTTGTTAGTTAAAACTTAAAAGGTTAGCTATTAGTCGATAAAAAAAATATTTAATAAAACTAGCTGCAATATTTAAAATTATATAAAAACCAATATGTACAAGATTTATTTATTTTTTTATAATTATAAATGAAATATATGGGATAACTAAAAAAAACTCAATAAATAGGCTGACAACCTTATAAGTTAATTGTGATGCACCAAACATAACACAACACCTTGTAACAAGATTAGAAACAAAAATGATTTTATTTCAACGTGCCATTATAACATCATTCCTAATTATTATTATTTTAAATTAAAAAATAAATTTGTAAATTTTCAACTTTCAAAATTGACGAGTTCTTGAATTTTCTA